CCCCCTCCCCCCGGCTCCTGTGGTTCAGGGATTCAGCCCAGGGCCACGTGGTGCTGGAGCAGGCACACGGGGAAGCAGTGAAAGCCAGGGCAAGCAGAGGCTTCTGGTTTGGTGGGGAAGAGGCTGTGGGGGGGCGGGGCTGGGCCAGCCTTGCTCCTAGGTCCTACTACCCCTGGCTCCTGTCGTCTTTGACAGGCAGCCAGGAGCAGATAAATATTAATTTTCTAAACTTTTTAGGTGCCCCATGAGCCGGGTTGAATGGCCTCACGGGGAAGCAGTGAAAGCCAGGGCAAGCAGAGGCTTCTGGTTTGGTGGGGAAGAGGCTGTGGGGGGGCGGGGCTGGGCCAGCCTTGCTCCTAGGTCCTACTACCCCTGGCTCCTGTCGTCTTTGACAGGCAGCCAGGAGCAGATAAATATTAATTTTCTAAACTTTTTAGGTGCCCCATGAGCCGGGTTGAATGGCCTGGTGGGCCAGATGTGGCCTGCAGGCCGTATTTTGCCCGCCCCTGCTTTAGGTGTGCCATTTAACTTTTGATAGTGGAGGAGCTTGTTAGTGAGAAGACAGGACTGGCAAATGATGTTGATGAAGGAAAAAGCAAGTGATAACAGGAAAAAGGTCAAGAAAGACAAATAATATAGAAAGAAGAAGAAAAGTCAGAAAACAAAAGACACAGAGACCAAAACATTCCACAGAGGAGGGCACCTCTTTATTGACACACCAGAGACAGTACCTCTGGAAAAACAAGGTGGGACACAAGTTGAAATAAGAGCCAAATCACCTGAAAAAAACTCTTTCAAAGTTTTTAACTCCATTTATTTATAACAGTTTGTGTTTCAGATTCTGTGACATAATTGTTTTTTTTTTAAAAACCAAATGTGCATGAAAATAAAGTCAACCAAAAAGTTAAAACAAAAAACAAACAGCATGGGGAAGTTCCTCATAAATTTCAATGGACACTTCCATTTGATGATTTAAAATGACTTCCACCAAAAAATATTGTAGACCTCTGCTAGATGTAAAGGAAACCCAGAATAATTGAAACCAAATGACTCCCTTGATGTCTCCTAGTATAACAAGGACAGGATGAAGGAAAATAAACTGTAGGCTGTTGTTCATTCTGTGGTTAGTTGCTTGTTTTGGTTGTCTTTCCCCTAGCCTCTCCCCTTCAGGTTTCATATATTGTTGCAATGAAAATTATTCGCTAGTCTTGAGTGCAGTGTTCCATTGTAATCCTTCTAAACGCGGGGTTGCTAAAACATATTCTTCTGCCCTATAAAATATGCCATAAAGTTGTCCATCAGAGTTAGTGACTTAAGTTGTTTCCCAAATGCTTCCTAAATATACTCATTTAATCATTCAGTTTTCCAGTGTTGAAGCAAATTACCATACCTATGCATTTATGCTAATGTGGTGGGAGAAACCTCCCTAAGGTTCGTTGTCTAGCTGTAATTTGATTGACAGACAACGCGGGTAAAGAAAGACAGCTGTTTATTTGCTCGAGCAAAGACCATAAAGCCAGCAAAAGGCAAAATGGCCCCCCGCCTCAGGGTGAGGTGATCTTTTATACTTATTACAACAAGGCAAGACTTCATGGTTAACAAAAAAAAGCAATACTTGGGCGGTGCTTTTCAAATCTTTGTAACAGCATATTTCTATTAAGCTGAATTAGCACTTTTTAAAGCTAAAAGTTAAGTAACAGTAACATTATAATATGTTAGCAAAACCTTACACAGTAGTAGATACTTCTCAAGGACACAACCAGTGCACCCAGAACAATGGTTTCCCTGTCTTATCTTACTTCTTGCTGTAGCTGATTTTTCAGCACACAGACACAGAGATACTTGCTGCTTTTAACTCAGAAAATGCTTAATACAGTTAAAATGATTACTTGACACAAGCAAAGGCTTAGCTATCAATCTGCCTTGTGGTCAGCTGCATTGCTAGGCCACAGGTCATGCCTTGTATTCAGCTGTAAAGCTAATACTTCCTAATAATCTAAATTATTGTAAACCTAACAGTATGCTTATCAGAAAACTGTTCTATTTCAGGGTAATAACAAACCTGCGCACTACATAATATAAACTTTAAAGTTGAATCAGTAAAGTTATCAAACACAGTCATTGGAGGAATAGCAACAATTATACATTTGCTTAATTGAAAAAGCTAGGAGTAGTTTAACACAATATATCATAACACACTCAGTTCATCTTATTTGTATTAGAACTGTATTTTGATAAATCTCACAGAATAACGGAAAAATTGCTATACTAAAGAACCCATCCTGCAATTGCCTCCATCTTATAGAGTCGATATGCCTCCTCTTGAGCTTTTGCACAGGGTAGGGAGGTCTGCCCTTGCAGGATCAGAGCCTAAATAACCATGCAGGGGAAACAGTGCAAATGGTAATATGCAAAGTGAGCTACTGTATTTACTTACCAACCACATGGCTCCTTTTCCCCCTCCAAAATGGGCGTGTGTGTCTTAAACAAGGAAGCTAATTTTAATTTGTTAGAAGCAGGGTGGAATAGAGCAAGCAGACACTATGCCTAGTTGTCACCAAGAGGGTTGTTACTTCTTTCACCTGCAAACAGCAGGGTTAGGATCCAGTGTTAACCCTCTCAAAGCTGTTGGTGAGGCAGTAGCTTTTGGCTAAAGAGCTTTTGAGCTGGCTGGCGGTGGGTGAGCTGCTGCATGCAGTCTGTAGTATCTTGAGGCTTATGCAGAAGTAGTACTTATTATTTACAGGAACTTGTATAAAGAACTAGTTACAGTAAAAAAGTAACAGTCTTGCTGCTGCCCTTGCAAGAGTCTAGGGCCCAGCCTTGTTGCTGTCCTGGCACGTTAGGAAGTCCCTGTTGCCTTACCCTGACTCTTTCCTGGGATGCTGCACTTCCTGGACTCTCTGTTACTGTGTCACAGTTGGGCATGACTCTGGAAAAATCTTTTCTTTTACATTGTGCCTTCCAAAAACAAAGTGTATATTGTATTTGAGGCTATGTAGCAAATGAGAAAATACAGTATTTGAACCAGAAGTGATGGTAACCAACACTTAAGAAGTCATAGGTCTCTCCAAAGAAGTCAACTATCAAGTTAAAAGAAATTGAAACTTGGGATACTTGGGTTCAGTTCCCTGTTTTAGGACAAGACTCCTAGCATGACTTTTGCATGAGGTCATGTGGGCCTAAGTTCCTTTGTGACTCTTAGTTGTCTTTATGCTTCAGTTTTCTGTAAAATAAAGAAACTGCACTTCCAACCTTAGGATTATTGTGATGGTAAATGCAGTAAAAGGTAGTAAAGCGGTTGGATACCATGGTATTGGGTTCTTATAAATACCTCATCCAAAATTATGGTCATGACAAAGCACTTGACCTAATCACTGCCAGTATGTTAGCATTTCTCTCTCTTCAGGTTACCTGTAGTTTTATACATAATATATAATAAAAAGATGACTGGTACATTATTATACTTGACTGAGAGCTATATACTTCCATCTTTTAATGTAGAGTGCTGTTTTCTATAGATGATTGCCCTTGAACTGGTGGTATTTGCTATAGATCAAAATTACTAAAGAAATACAATACCACTTCAGCCTCATTTTTGATATGTTATCAAAGATTTGCACTGATGTTAACTTTACTGATGAGTGGGCTTCTCCAAACTTATACTGCTACAACTGAAGTCAAAACGCAGTTCTTGCATAGCAGCAAGTTCTACTGTTTTAATTTAAAAGAGTCATTTGGTAGGCTTTTAATAAATAGAAACTTAGTGTCTCAGATGAAGGGTTTCATATAATGTCAAAGAGACCATTTTGACAACAAAGTATTTTGAAACAAAAAGACAGTTTACTTTTTTTCCTTTTTTTAATCTTGAAAAGGAAGTGCATGTATTTGCATTGGAAAAGAACACTGAAGACGGACAAAGGTTTTACCTTGTGACAACATATATTGAGCTTTGGTTCTATTATAAGTAAGTATTTGATAAGCAGCTCTCAGCTGCTCTGTGCTTTGCTGGGACTGGGGTAGGTGCAGTCTGGCCTTTAGAAGCATGATTTTGTCACTGGGAGACCGTATCAGGTAGCCTTGTGTGCCAAGCAGAACTTGACTACAAAAGAGAATCTGTTTTTGTAGAGGGGGTAAAAAAACATCATTTTAGTGTCAAGAGATGACATAACTTATGCCTCCTTAAATAGATAACTTAAATAGCACTTTTCATAGAAATGTATCACACAATTTGTGGTTTTGTCTTTTGCTATATAAATCTCAAAGGGGATTCAACTTAATTACATGTGGTAAATACAATTTGGTAAATATTAGCAGTAATATCTGATTACTGAGAGAATTTTCAAAGTCCAATATTCCTTTTATTTAAGCTATTATCATCATTGTATGTGTGTGGGGGGGTGTCCCCTCAGTTCAAACATCAACATTTAATTGCATCTAGTTTTCTTTTGTGTGAAAGTCATTTATTTTGCTTTCAGGTTCTCAGTGCTTTCTATTTGCATTGTAAATTATCTCAGGGGTATTTCTGTTTCTAAAATTAGCTTTCATAAATCTTTTAATTCATTAACACATTTATGTTGTCAGTACTATAGATTTTGTGTTTGTAACTTATAGGGTGCTGCCAACAAGTATTTGTTAAGGTTTCTAGTCTCAAAATTCATATAGGAAGTTGTACAGGACATAATAGGACCATTCTTTCCAAAAGTATTTTCTAATTCTTTTTTTCTTACTTTGCTAAGGAGGAATATTAGATTTTTAATATGTTAGATCAGGGGTTTCAGATGTATGGCATGTGGACCTGATTCAGCCCATGGAGCTGCTCTATCCACCCTGCTATGCTAATGGCAGGAAGTTGGGGGCATGGCTGGTGGGAGTGGCCTGTCCCAGAATCTAGAGCCCTTGCACCCTGGTAGACATAAGAGTGGCTTTGCCTGTTGACACTGCTACAGTCTTCCCTCTGCAGCTGCTGACCTCTTTGCTGCCCTATGCAGAAGCTGCTTCTGTGGCACAGGACACGTGGCTGTGGCAACAGCTCTGGGTTCAGCACAGGACACATAGCAGGAGCTGGAGCTGTGCTGCATGTCCTGGGTTGGAGCCACAGCTCTGATTGCCACTGTCACTGCAAGGCCCAGGCTGGTACCTAGGGTTGTATTCAGCCCACAAGGAGCCCTGTGGCTCAGATCCAACTCAGGGAACCAAGTGAGTTTAGCGCTGTTTTAGATGATTGTTTATTGTTCATGAACATGTATAATAAATCCTGAAACTTTTTTTTACTTGACAGAGGTCAGAAATCAAGTCTGTTTCATTGTTATGAAGTAATTTGTGAGAAAGCTGTTTGCAAACTTTATTTTGATTTGGAGTTCTATAAACCAGTGAATCCAGGTGCTGATGGCAAAATGATGGTTGCACAGTTAATTGAGGTAAAGATGAAACAGATATTACAACATAATATAGGTCTCTATATTAATTACTGGCCATAAGATGGAAACTAAAAAAAAAAAAAGTGAACTTTTTGTTTCAAGTATATCATGGCTGCAGTTATACAAATAGAATAATAATTTAAAAAAATATTTTACATTTAGTGGATATTGAGGATAGCACCTTAAGCTCTGAGGTAGTACTGGCTTATTAGGGATTTCAGTGGAGTTGTGAAATTCACTTTAGAAGCAATAGTATGAGACACTATCGTAGGCTTTTTAGGAGAAACTGGAAGTTTGTTGTCCAGTAGTATCCTAATATTACACCCATTTGGTTTATGAGGTGTGATATGTGTTGTATTTCTTTTAGCTATCTGAGCTATGAAATCTGAGTCTGTCTGATCCAAAAGGAAGAAAATCTGTGCTCATAACTGAAACTGATGAGGTCTTAAATGAAGACAAAAATCTGTAGTTAGGCCAGGATTTATGGACACCTTTTTCTAGCATTTTACAGAAATAAAATTTGTGTTTTATATTTTTCAGCTTTTTTGTAAAAATCTTGAAGAACGTTATGGAGTTAAATGTTCTGCTAATGATGTCTTGAACTTAGATTCCAGCACTGATGAAAAATTCAGCCATCATTTAATATTTTTACTCCATAAGACAGCATTTAAGGATAATATACATGTTGGTATGTATGTTTTTTCCTTCTATGAGAAATAAAATGCATGTTTGTATCTTTATTGTACAGACAGACACTTTAATATTAATGGTGGCAGGATCATAAAAGAAAACAAATGTTCATTTCCAGTTAGGATAACTAATTTTACTTATATTTCATTATGCTTTGACTTGTCTTCTGCTTGTTTTTTGTTAGTTTTCTGTGACTAGACCTCTAGTTTAGTTTAGAATAAAACTTCTGAATGTGTCTATGTACTATATGTACAGGTTTCCCTTGATTTATGCGGTACGTGCGTTCCTGGGGCACGGCGCAGCCCAGTGGCTGCAAGCAGGTGGCGTCCACCCAGGTCTGCAGCAGGGGCAGGCAGTCCCCTGCAGCCAAACAAGCAGGCTGGGACCGGCCCAAGTCTGCAGCGGCTGCCAGCCTCAGCCTGCTCTTGTTCTGCTTCAGACCTGGGAGTACTGGCCACCTGCTTGCAGCGCTGGGGTGTGCCATGCCCCAAACCACCTGGGGCACCGTTCCCTGAACCTGCCCGGTGCGGTGGAGTCCAGCAGCTGCAAGCAGGTGTCCGCCGCTCCCAGGGCTGTAGCAGGGGCGGGCAGCCACCTGCAGCCAGATGAGAGCAGGCTGGGGCCGGTGGGTGCTGCAGGCTCAGGGGCTCCAGGCTCTTCCTGACGCTCTGCCTGTCTCCACCCCAGCCCTGGCTGCAGTGGCCCCAGGAGCAGCCGGTGCCAGCTGCCTGCACCAGGGCACGGTGCAGCCCAGCAGCTACAGGGAGCTGGCATCAGCCGTTCCCAGGACAGTTGCACAGAAGCTGGGGTAAGTGGGGACAGGCAGAGCCCCGGGGGCCTCGGGGCACAGCGCAGCCCAGTGGCTGATGGCAGCTGGTACTGGCAGCTCCTGGGGCCGCAATAGCTGGAGCTGGGGTGAGTGCCACGCCCCTCACCACCCAGGGCTCTACTTGTCCGCACTCACGCCAGCCGGCCCCAGGAGCAGCTGAAAGGGGAACATATCCCTATTTCTTGCATTATAAAGTAGGTTCACTTTATGCAAACTAGATTTATGTGGCATTCTCCAGGCCTATGCTGATTGCATATATACGAATTTGCCTTGCATATAACGAATTTCGGGTACAAAAGGGTCATCGCATAAGAGCAAATTCAAATAATTTGAACCTGCATAAATTGAGGGAAACCTGTACTGAGACATCACTGAGGCTGGTTACAAGTTAGATAACTCATTTTATAACGTGCTTTCGGGGGGGGTGTTGTTTTTTTTAATAGACTAAATTGAACTTTATTGGTCAAAATCTTAAATCCCCATGAGCTATGCTCAGCAGAAGACTTGTGGGACAGAACACAGGTGCTTTAAAGCCTTTTTCTTAAATCTTTAGCATATAGGGAGCAGTGGGAAGCTATTTTGGGCCTTAATGTAAATTGGAAGGGCTGCTGAGCTACAGAAAGCACAGTCCAGTCTACTTTATGCTAGTCCAAGTTTCTTAAGTGTAAGTAGGGCTTCATTTGTCATTTTAAAGCAGATTTCTAGGTGCGTTATACTGTTGGAACAACACAGATCGCCCAGCCCAGGGACCACTGATGTGGTCCCAAATGTCTTTATACAACTTCAGTGTGATTAATTAAAATTATTTATCTCAGTATCATAAAAATGTACTCAGTGACTGAACATTTTATATCAAAATAACTTTCAGAAACTGTTTACCTGGCATATCGCTGTGGTATCTTCAACTATTCTGCTTAACATATATATGGTAGCTTGGGACCGTGTACAATGCTGGAAGTAATGTATTTATAGAACAATGAAATCAGAATAAATCGGAAATTAAGACTGTCCTGAGTGTAGTTGTAACTGTAAATAAACACTATTACACAATCACTTGCACACAGAGACACTGTTCAACTATATAAAAGTTGTAAAAATGTATTGTGGATATAAGTAAATATATACATATTTTTACAACTTTTAAATGATTGAACACTCGGTAAACAAAGACTATTATATGTATACAGAAGGGATTGGATTTGTGCCCAATTTTTGGCAGCTTTAAATCTTCATGTGTAACTGCACACAACCGTTGGAGAAAAAATATGGTTACAAAGTGAAACTTAATTTGGAAAATACTAGGATTAAGGTTACACGTGTATTATGTAATGATAGTGCCTATTTACACAACCATGTAACTGTTTGTTCCATGTGATCCCTGTGTTATACAGTGCACAGAAAGGTCCTTCTCTAGAGATAAATTAGAATTTTGTAGCGAAAGAGGTGACCAGCTATGGGATGGCACCTCCCCTCCATTCGTAGAAATGGGAAGACATGCTCTGACACAGAGGAGATTGCAGAATGAGGAGGGGGTCATTGCAATTGAAAACTTGGCTGCAGAAACAACTGCCACAGTTTCTATGTGGTGATAAGTCTAGTTTAAGTGACTTGCTTCTCAGAGATGTTGACTGCTTTTACTTATCTGGGTGCCCTGACATTTGGTCAGTAGACTCCCCCATGCCAGAAGGCATATCTGCAGTACAGAGGCTACCCTAGGGAAAATTTAAAGTTTGTCTCCCAAAAGCATGGGTTCCCTGGAGTTCAGAAAAATGGGACTTTCTTAACATAGTTCAGCTGTCCTGAAAACCTTCTGACTCTGAGATTTAAGTCAAAAGGCTGTCTCTACAGTGCCTCCCTGCCGAAACTGGTTCAGATGGCACAAGTTTTTGCAGGCAACAGGCTACTTCGTCAGATGCTAGACTGACATGGCTTATGCCTCTCTGAACTCTGAGCATTTACACTCTAAGGCTGCGTCCAGATGAGCATGGACATTTGTTTCCTTGGGGACACCTATGCCATGTGTGCTCTGGCATGTGCCAGGTTACCCCAGGTGGGGTAGGGGAGTTTATAGATTCATAGATGCTAGGGTCGGAAGGAACCTCAACAGATCATCAAGTCCAACCCCCTGCCTAGGCAGGAAAGAGGGCTGGGGTGAGACAACCCCAGCCAGATGCCTATCCAGCCTTCTCTTAAAGTCCCCCAAGGTAGGGGAGAGCATCACCTCCCTTGGAAGCCCATTCCAAATTTTGGCCACCCTTAGCGTGAAGAAGTTTTTCCTGATATTTAGCCTAAATCTGCTCTCTGTCAGTTTGTGCCATTGTTCCTTTTTACCCTAAGAGGCGCCCTGGTGAACAGAGCATGTCCGATCCCTTAATGTGTTCCCCTAATGAATTTGTAGGCAGCGATAAGATCACCTCTCAGCCTTCTCTTGTGAAGGCTGAAGAGGTCCAGGTCCCTCAGTTTCTCCTCATAGTCCTTGTTGTCCTGTAAGCCCCTAACCATACGAGTGGCCCTCCTCTGGACCCTCTCAAGTCTGTCAACATCCTTCTTGAAGTACAGGCACCCAAAACTGGACACAGTACTCCAACTGTGGTCTGATCAATGCCACATAGAAGGGAAGTATCACCTTGGTTCTATTTGTCATGCATCTGCTGATGCATGATTACGGCATCACTATTGTGTACTGCCCACTTTTCCAACCTATCCAGGTCTGCCTGCAATCGTTCCCTACCCTCCAGAGTGTGCACTTCACCCCACAATTTAGTATCATCCACAAACTTGGGCAGAGTACACTTCACACCCACATCCAAGTCACTGATGAAGATATTGAAGAGTACAGGTCCAAGGACCAAACCCTGTAGGACCCCACTACCCACATCCTTCCAGGTCAATTCCGACCCATCTACTACCACTCTCTGGGTGTGACCACAGCCAATTTGCCACCCACCAGACTTGTAAACATCTATGTCACAGCCTCTTAATTTATTTATGAGTAGGTTACCCCAGGTGGGGTAGGGGAGTTCATGTTAAAGGACTTCAAATTAAGCAATGTCCTGAAATGTGAAAAACAGAAGACCCCTTTTCTTAAATCTTATAAGGCTTATGAGGAAAGGAATCAAATTCACAGCCAGCTAAGCACATACAATCTCATTTATGTCAGGTGATTTAGTTTAATTCATGCCAATGATAAATATGGTTCAAAGAACACTCGAGGGTCAGCTGAGAAATAACTGGGGTGTGATTCTAACATGAAGCAATTACAATCTGATTTGAGAAATAGAAAGAAAGAGGGTGGAGATGGATATGAATAATACAGAAACTAAATCTAATTTTCTCTTCTAGTCTGCTAGGAAAGCACTTCTGGCTGTTGATCCTGTATATGCCACTGCTACTAACCAAGCGCAGGAAGTGGGGAGGAGGAGGACACTTCTGTATTTTAGCCCCAGTAGCTGAAAGGTTTAGGCCCTTACCCAGAAAACAAGAGACCTAATTCAGGAGCATCTTAAACTTGTCTCTCTCTGACTTCTCAGCACAGTGCTTTAACATTGCAGGTTAGACATTATTCAGCTCTTCTTTTGAAGCTGACCACCTGGGGCCCTGGGCAACTGAAAGAGGGAGATGTATAGGACAAGAAGGAACAGATCTAGCTGGAGGGTCTGTGGCTCAATAGGATAGATCTACTCTGGAAAGGAGCAGGTCCTAGACCTTTGCTCTCAACAGGGTGGACAATTCCCCACTGCTCTCCATCCATTTTATACGATATTATTAAATACATGATTCGGTCGCTCAGCTTCAAAAGGAATGTTGGAGAGGGAACTATAAAATGCCTGACCCGTGCTCTGGTGGTTTGAGTGCTGTGAGGTTCAAATGTTCTGGATAAGAGAAAACCAGGCTCTCCCACTTCCTGGAGAAGTGCCTAACCACATGGTTATTGGGGTTAAAGTATGGGAGGGTTGCCCCCCTCTTGCTATCTTTTTTCCTTTTGTGGTAGCCACATACCTTCTTGACTAGTGTGTAGCCTACTGAGTATGTACAGTAGCCATGTGAACACCTATGTTTTGCTGGAAATAAAATCACAAACTGTGCAACGATGCCAAAAAAGGCCACTTATGCAGCTGGAAAACTGCCTTTTAGGTGGACAAAGTTTCTCCCCTAAGCATCTGATCCTGCATTGATGCATATGAACTATCCTAGCAACTTTAATAGTTGCTTACATTCACAAGTGTTAACAGAATCAGACTTTCAGTTGACTAAGAATGTGGAATGGTGCTTGTGGTTATTGGGGATCCCTAATGGAGCATGCCCCCAGGGGCAGCTGTGGTGCCCCTGGAGGTCACACGACACCCACCCTCCTACTCCAGTTCCCCTTTACCCCCCTTGGCCTCACCTTTTCACCTGTCACACCTTGATGTTTAAGTTAATAAATAAATATATATATATTAGGAGGTGTCATGTTCCATCCACCCTGCTCATTATCAGACTGCCAGTCTACAATCCTTATACCCTAGATTGGGCCTCTGGCTCTGCTTCTCTGTCATGGGGGCCCCCTGGCTCTGTCTCACTTGAACAGCAGGGGTGGGTATAGGTTTGTGGGGGGCTGTTGGTGTGTGGGTATGTGGGGTGAGGGGGCGTGTGGGTGGGTATGGGGTTTGTGGGGGAAGGGTGGCTGGGGTATGAAGGGTTGTAGGTCTGGGGGCCTGCATGTATGGCAGTGCAAGGGGGTTGGGTGTGTGCACATGTATGGTGGGGTGTGCATGTGGGACTGTCCCTATGAACACACACACACACACACACACACACACACACTCTCTCTCTCTCTCTCTCTCTCTCTCTCTCTCTCTCTCTCCCCCTTATTGCTCTTTCTTTGTGTCTGTCTGTCTCTGTCTCTCCCCCCCACATTGCAGGGATGCATACACATACACACCCTCCCACTCCTGGCCCTGGGGTACCGGTGTGGGTCCCATGCTCTGGTGATGCAGCAGGGGGCCACATAGGGCTGGAGTGGCTAGCGGGCATGCAGGGAAGCAGTGAAAGCTGCGGCAGGCATAGGCTTCTGGTTGGGGAGGGGGCTGGAGGTGGGGCTGTGCTGGCCTGCCTACTGAGTCCTGCCAGCTTCCTACTGCCCCCGACTGTCATCTTTGACAGGCAGCCAGGAGCAGATAAATATGGTGATGGTTAGATGAAGCTACAATGATAGCACTATAGTCTTCCTCCTTGAAATATGTTGATCATTTGACTACTGCCTCAGAAGAAAAAGACTTCAATAGGCCAGGATATGCTTGCACTTGTTCTCCAAATATAGTACTACTTAGTTTCCTGTTTTAAAATACTGTAACCAAAATGTGTGCAATCCTTTTAAATGTTGTTCTTGCAGTTTTTACAAACAAACTTTAGTTTCTGTTAGAGTTAATGCCGGAACTTGGATTTTCAGTGCTTTTGGGTTTCAGATGTGGTTGGGCATGGACATAATCTATGAAGAGCAGGGAGACACTATGCTGCACCTTTCATTTTAAATTCTTTGCACGAAAGAGGAAATGTATTTTTGTTGAACAAATAAGACTCTGATCTATATCTTTTCTTATTATTTTAAGGTAATTTTGTGAGAAGAGTTTTGCAGCCTGCTCTTCGGTTAACTAAGACTAAAGCTGCTGCTGTGATTCCAGAAGAGGAGATAGGTCATGTTTTCCAGTCTTCCAAAGCTACAGCTGAATTAAATGGTTCTCCTGTTAATGCTGTAGCAGTAACGAATGCTTCTGGGAGTTGGCAGTCTTGCATGCGCAAAACGCTGGACACTGAGACTTCACAACAGAAGGAAAAATCAGAATTTTCCTTTCTGGTAGTAAATGATAAAGACGGAGGCAGCCAACTTTTTGTGGATATGGGTAAATATAAACCCGAGTCGCCACCATAATGATGAGCCAAATTCTGCCCTCATCTGTTGTGTAGGAAATATAATAATCACAGCTGTCTAAAGCAGGGGTTGGAAACCTACAGCCTGTGGGTAGGATTTGGATTGTTTCTGACCCGCAGAGCCAGGACGGCGGCAACATTTGGCAGTGGAGGAATTTATGGTGCAGGGTACTATGCAGTGGCATGTGGTGCATGGGGAGACAGTAGTAGTAACCAAATTGTAGGCACTGGCCTGTCTTAGACTGAAGTTTATTAATTTGACCCACTGCTGCTCAAAGGTTGCTGACCCCTGCTGTAGTGCAAAAGAAGAATGCTCCTTTCTGGAGTATATACAAGTCTCAAGAGAAATCCTTCTAATGAATGATTTGGTGTACCTTTAGGGGAGAATTTTGGAGTAAGGTCTCTATACCTGAAACTGACTAGCAATTGAAATACTCGTCATCTGGATCAGTTTGCTACCATGTTAAAAAACAAATAAGTTGCTGAATTTTGAACATAAAACTTGTAGTTATTAAAGCAAATAATGGTTCATAGGAAATACTTTTTTTTTTAATACACATATAGTTAATGGCAGACAGCAGGGCTATAGGTATATGACCATGAGACACAACTGTACAGAGCTGCACAAGCCAGTTTCAAAACCAGACATAATGGAGCTGTGGCAGCACAGCACTTTATCTGAGCTAACGTACCTATTTTTCCTCAGGTATAGTTAGCCTTTGTCTGCTGTGCTACTGGGACTACACTGCCTTTAGAACTTGAGCTGGCCTGCCAGTTGACCCAAGCGTCTCTGTACAACATTACACTGCGTCATGTAGATGTACTCCAAGTGCCTGTGTATCAGAAAAATCGCTGCCTTTATCAAAATATAAATTCATATTGTTAGGAAGTAACAACTGATCTGCCATAGCTACCTATAGTATAGATTTTTCTCCAATTTTTTTTAACCTTGTGTTATAAAGTTTTGGAAGACAGGCTTGTGGGCAAGAGCCTTATAAGCTAGTTCCTGGCTCATACAAGTATGTTTCAGCAGTAATCCAACATTATGGATACTAATCTTTTTATCATCCACTGGCATTTTTTTACTTTACTATTGTGCTGTTATTCTGTGACAAACAAGTGCAATCAAGTGCCCTAGAATGGAACTGTGACCTCATCCATGTTAACAGTAACTGCTACAGCAAACTTAGCATATAAAAATTAAGGAAGGAGAATACAGTTATGTAACACAACAAGTGGGTTAACTTCAGATATTAGCTTTAGCCAAATGTGAGAGAGAACATAGTGGTTGTTTTTATCACCATAGCTTACAAAGTCAATGGTCTAACATCTCTCCCATTATATAGTTGGTCCAGTAAGTGATAATCACCAAAAATCAGGATCTCCTTACCTCTATAAAGTGTCAGAGAGGGAACAGGACTGAACAGGAAGATACTGAAAGATGAGATGAAATGCAGTGACAGAACTGAGGGGGGAAGGGAGGGATATGCTTTTAACTCCACTGCTTGTCAGCACTCTGTCCTTTTACTTTTGCACAAAACTGAATTCAGCCACAAATTAAACCTTCCATTTCCCCAGTAGTTTCAGAGCAGAACTTATCAAATCATATGTCAGACATTTGAGATGAGAATTGCATTTTTCTGTCTACGGTGTTTATGTTGTTTATAGTGTAGATATATGATATGATCTGTGATGCACAAAGGACAGGAAACAAAGAGCTAAACTTTTTAACTTATAGTTAAACTTGTAGTTTAACCACAACTATCTTATGTAAAATAGTTGTGGTTAAGGGACAGGGTAGTTAATGGTAAACTAGCTTTTATAAAATAACTATTTAAAACAGAGACTGGGAAACAATTTTTAGAGCTAATTGAACTAGTTAGTTCTTTTGGTACTAATCTGTTGTTTGGTTTAATAAAATGCCTGGGCAGCAATTTGAGCAACTGGCCTAATAAATTGATAATATGAAAGTATGTATTGCAGCAGAGAAGTAAAGCTTACACCGTGGGTGTTGAAATGGAATCAGCAACACTTTGCTCTGCTCAATTAGACGTTTGTGTATAGTGTGCAGATGCTAAATGTTATATAGAACCTGGCTGACTCCAAATGTGTTATGAAACATTTATCTTTTTATAGGAGTTTATACAAAGAATAGAAACTTTCGGCTGTATAAATCATCAAAATCAGGAAGACGCGTGATTTTGGAAATAGCAGAGGATAACAAGTTTGTGCCTAAACTCAAAGAGAATATTTCTATTGAAGAGCAGTATTTCCTTTCCTCTTTGGTCTGCAACATTAGGTAACCATTTTGTTGTGCTGCAGTTTAGCAAACATCTCAAATGTAAACTTTAATAACATTCAGAGTTGTTGGTGGGCTGATACTCTAAAGACATTAGTACACGATATTCAAACAAAGCTCAGTTACTAGTTTTAACAGATTAAGTTCTCTGGTTATTTGGATTTCTGAGACAACTTTTTTTGGACTTATCTTCTAATGTGCAATGAGTTTAGAGAAACCATTTGATAGTTTCTGAAGTGTCCCCTGATTTAAAAAAAGAAGATAAAAGGTATTGACTTGTCAGGTGAAGACAAGTGCCAAATAAGTGCTATATTTCTAGTACTGTACTCTAAATTTAGACGAGATTCTGAAATGGTTCTGTATGTGCAGTTAAAGACATTTGGCCTGGCATCCTAAATATGTAAAGTAAAAGGAATTGTTCTGTACACAAGCTTGAGGATTAGCAATTTTTTCCTCAGTGCCTTTCAGCTAGATATACAAATTGCAATTTATGATCAAAGGAGATCAGGGGATAAAGTTCTTAAACCAGAAGTTCCCAACCACTGGATCATGGCACAAGCCCCGCCCCATTTGGACCCATCTGTCTGCCTGGGTGACCAGCTTCTGGGGTCACAGATGAGCTTCTGGGGTTAAAGCCAGGCAGCAGGGGAGGCCAGGGAGGGAGGCAGCTGGCTCCACATGTCCCGTCCCACTCCTGCCAGGCTGCAGTAAAAAAAAAAGTTGGGAACCACTGCCTTAGACTATAATTTACTGAGCATCTTCTATGACGGGTGGGCAAAATATAGCTGGAAGGCTGGATCCAGCCCACCAAGCACTTTGATCTGGCCCACCATGCCCACCAACAAATTGTGCTGGCCTAGCCCTTCTGCCCATGAGGGTGGGAGTGAGGTGCCCCACATGTACACTCCACCCCAAACATACCCAATTGTGCCTTGATCCCACCTTCGTGGGTGGAAGGGTCCAGCCAGGCCAGCGTGCAGCTTTCACACAGCTGCAGCGCCTGGGTACATGCTCCACTTCCCGTCTTCCGCTGGCTCTGAGCAGCAGGTAGAGAAGCACTGGGGGCAGAGCTGCAGCTGGGCAGGAGCACTGAGTGTGGGGCTGGACCTGGCAGAGCTCGGCTGGGCAGCATGTGGGAGGTATAGGAACCACCCCCCTACACTGCCCCCATGGCGCACAGCCCTGACAAGCGATGGCAGCAGCAGCAGGTGGGGTGCTCAGGGCACAGGTGCCTGGCGGAGCATGGCTCCAGCCAGCACTGCACAACACAGTGAGGGGTGCAGCCTCCCCTGGGCCATCTGTATCACTGGCATTCCCAACCACTTGCGCCTGGTCCCCATGCTTGGTGGGCACGGGAGGGAAGCCCCATGCACTGCAACTAGCTGCCTTCCCTGCCCCCCAGGGGAAGGTGCCTGGGGCTTGCTTTTTCTGCCCTGCAGCCCTGGCAGGGAAGGCAGCTGGCTCCAGCACGCGGAGCTTCCCTCCTGGGCTCGTGGACTGCAGGGGCCACGTGAGAGTGGCGGGGATCACCGGCGATACAGACAGCCCAAGGGAGGCGATACAGACAGCCCTTGTGCAGTGCTGGCTGGAGCCATGCCCCGCTGGGTGCCAGCGCTCTGAGCACCCCTGGCTGCTGCTGTGCCATGGCGGGAGTGCAGGGGAGTGGTCCCCACTCCCCCTACCCTGCCTCACACCCACAGCCCCCCACCATCCCCTATGTCCCCCTCACACAACACGCCAACCCACCCACATCATCACGCCCCACCATACACAAGTCCCCCCCAAATATGCAAGACTAAGAATGCATTTTCGAGTTATTATGCAATCACCTCTGTGTACACTATGTAAACAAATCATGACAAAAATATTTTTCGTTATAAAATTAAGTTATAGTAGGCATTTGACTTTTAGCATATGATTTGGTTTGTTTCTGTTTCTAAGATGACAACTCCTCCTTCCAAAAGGAGCATTTCCAGGGGGCAAGGAGAGGGACTTCCAGTGGCAAACATTAGGGGTGGGATTTCAGTCCCAAGATGGTGACAATGGGGGGGGCAGCTATCAAGGGCTGGAACTACCCATGTGACACTCGACAGCTCACCAGAACTCATTAAGCACCCCTCAACCCGCAATAATTGCCTGCCCCTTATCTATGAGAAGCCAGGTTGTTGCAACTGATAATTACTGCAGTGGAATCTTATTCTGTCCTCTCTTTTGGTAGGTCCTCAGACATTGAAAAAATTCTAACCTGTGACAACCCAGATGGGAAGAGAGGCACGTCTATGCACTTAAATAGTAATATTTCTAGGTGCCCTTCAGGTAGTTTAAAAACTTGTTAAATGCATGTTTTTACTGTAGAGAAACAATTTTTCTGAACTATAAATGCCTGAATCATTTTATCCTGCATATTACAATGCACCTAACTTCTCTCAATGTTCAACTGTTCAAGTGATGATCTACATTTTGGTTGGCTTATTACATGTAGCAGAGAGAAGTAGTTAGCCATGTTAATCTTAAATCAGGCAGAAGGCAAGGTAGATTTGCACTTTACATCTCTGATTTAGTTAGTCTGTAAAAACTTTCATAAGCTTGCTTCGTCAGATGCCAAGAAGAGTGCAGGAAACAGTTCCTAAATAGAAAATAGTGGTTAGACTGTAAAGGGTAGGGAAGGGGGAAGAAAAAAAGGGGACAGTGATGGGAGAGGCAAGGTGGGTAGAACAGAGGGAAACTCATGAGGGACAAAAGAGTTATAAAAGCTAATCCAGAAAATGGGATAACCTGTAGTTTTGGCTTAGCACGGTTGTAGTCTGTGCATGTTTTCTTTTTCCACAATTTCCCATTTAAATTGTTTTTTAAAGTTTCATTGTCTAAGAACAGCTACTATTACACTGACCATTCCAGACCCAGGTCAGTGATCTGAGATGTGAGTAAGGCTAGTAACTTAATAAAGGGTAAGATTTGCTCATCCGTGTTCATCCAGCATCAGTCCAGCTTGAAATTGGTAGAACTGCTTGCTGTATAAGGTAGTAATCAAACTATGTTGCATAATCTAGCTCACAGTGAGAATTTTGCTATTCATTTGAACATTAAGCAGTTACCAACTTCTAAAGTGCAGGACCATCTTCTATGGTGATTACAATATGCCATTACCAAGTGTCCTCAGAGGTCAAGCAAGAAAAACTTGTACAAGAGTGGCTTTCTAAGAGATAATACCAACCATCATTAGGCCCAATTCTGCTTTTATTTTATAGTAATGAGTAAACCCATAGTGATTAATAAGAATAAAGTACACTTCAATTCTTTGAGCCTGTCTAATCTGTAACAATAATTCTGTGCATTTTAGTTTTAACAGATCCCATAGAAGGATATCATTATTCTCCCTATCCTGAGGTTGACCGCTTTGTCCTTTCTTTAGTTAATAAAGATGGTGTTCAAGGAGGTAAGATGCACCCTTTTCTTTTTTTGAGAGAGAGAGAGACTCTACAAATGTCACTGATTCAAATACTTTATTATTTATTTTCCAGGGATACGACACTGGAATTATTTTTCCCTGGAAGAACTTCTTGTTTATGACATTTCCAGATATCGCTGGTGTGAAAACATTGGAAGAGCTCACAAAAGCAACAACATAATGTATGTTGTTTAGTACTGTCCCTGAAGGAGATATACTTAATGCACACATTTTTATAAAAGAACATCTCAATAAGGAATGCAGCTTGTTTATGCTTTTGCACTATTGAATGAAAACTCAGGGTAGGGGTTGTCTTATGTCCTTTATACCACTTAGTAAAACAGGGTTCTGACCCTGATGGGATTCTCTGTGCCACTCATTAGAAGCAATAAAAGGGAAGATTTTCAGTATAGTAGCTAAGATTGCCTTAAAAGTTGTTCTAAGTTGAATTTTGCTTTGTTAGTTTCTCAAAGCAGTAAGACAAGAAGGCATGCTAATGTCCAGTTACCATATTTGTGTGGTTCTTCTGTTCATGAAGCCTAACAACATGGCTACTACGCTGTGACCATTAAAGCATAATTTGAGATTTATGACGTTCTAGAAGGAAGAGGGGCAGGCCATGTTAATATTGTTGGAGTTACAAAGAGAATTAACTTCAATTTTGTTAAAATGGCAAAGATGATTCCTGACCCTACTGCAGTAAAAGTTTGCTATTGACTGCAATAAGGTATCACTCCAAATTTTTGGTTAACACTGTTGAGAAACTAACAGCTTTAAAAATGCTAAGTCAGTTTTATTGGAACAGAAATAGTTATACCCCAGACAAGTTAATGCTGCTGGTGACTTGGGGGGTGTACTTGGTAGCCATGTTGGTCTGAGACAAAAGACATACAAAAAACTAAAACGCTTGGTTCCAAAATGATACCTTTTATTAGACCAACCGGAATCATAAGCTGATGACTTGATGTTGTGAAGTTGACTGTGACTGCAAATGACTAGACGTATGATTTTTGTAAAGGCAACATGTCTGATTGGATCCAAATTTAAGTCCACTCCATTTCTGAGGGCATGTATCAGTATTTAAAATACTGAATGCATGATATTTATTCAAGCATATCTAAAAAGTTCTGAAGTTCTATTGTATGGCTTTCTTCCGTTTCCCAGGGAATTCATCAAATGCACAAATATAAAAGGGGAATAATGTGCTAGGCAACAATACTAAAGAAAAGGATCTGGGGTGATAGTGAACTATAAACTGACTGAATCAATGACGTGACACTTGCAAAAATGTTACATTTCCTTCTGAGATGTGTTAGCATACATACCAAGTAAGATATAGAAGAAAAATTGCTCCAGTCTATCCTTGGTAGTAGTTTAGTCTCATCTGGAGTACAGGGTCCAGCCATGGGCCCTACACTTCAAGAAAAATGTAAACGAACAAAAATCCAGAGGAAAGCGACAAGCACAAGTAGAGCCCTACCTAATTCATAGCAGCTGCCCACCGATTTCGCAGACAGACTGTGGGGTCTGGCAGCCATTTTGGGTGGAGTAGTGCCCCCGCCCCCGATTGGCTGAGGGGACCCAGTGGCCCCCACCCTGTACTGCTGATTGGCTGTAAGGGCTGTCTGTCACGCAGCCCCACCCCTTGCTGCTGATTGGTAAAGGGCAGAGCCACATGACAGGCAGCTCTTACAGCCAATCAGCGGTGAGGGGCAGCAGCCATCTTGCTGGCAGCACTTTGAGCGGGCAGCCTTCCTGGCAGGCTGCCACTACACCCTAAGGACTGCTTTTTACTTTCTGTAAGCCTCCCCCCACCCAATTGCACTTTTGTGGGCAATGCCAGATTTTACAAAATCTGCAAAATCACAGTTTTGGTAGGAACTGAGCTTTAGTCTCAAAGAAAGAGACAAGAAAGGTGCAGACCTTCAGGTATACAAGATTATTTTCCATGCCCACAGGGGAGAGGACAAGAAGTGGTTTGCTTAATTTTGCAGCAAGGGACATCTAGATTAGATATTAAGAAATATATGAACTGTCAAATACTGCAGCAGCTTACCCAAATAAGTCATAGAATTTCCTGTGTTGGAAGCTTTTTAAAATGTTAGACCAGCCGTCAGCAACCTTTTTGCAGTGGCAGGCCAGACTGACTTGGGTCGGGTCTGAGGTCAGAGCTAAGACCCAGCTGCCACTGCCGCTTCTCCCTGCTGCCCTGCAGCAGCATAGGCACAGACCTCCCCCCAGCTCCGCTGGCTGGATCCAGCGACTCCATAGGTCATCTTACATAGCTTGCCAACTGCTGTATTAGAGCATATCTTGGCATATCTCAGGGGTGGGTAATTATTTTGGGTGGAGGGCCGCTTATTGAGTTTTGGCAAGCCATTGAGGGCTGCATGACAGGCAGCCCAGGACAGATAAATATAAATTTTTTAGGGGCCCCGCAGGCTGGATAGAATGGCATGGTGGGCCATGTCCAGCCCGCGGGCTGCATTTTGCCCACCCCTGGCATAACTGATCCCGCCTCAATGGAAGGGGAGGGCTAATAATGTCTTGAGGTCCCTTCCAGCCATGCACTTCCAGAAAACTGCAGAAACATTATACAGACAGAACGAACGTAAATTCAAACAGACGCTTAGCTGAATTAATTTCAAGAGGAAGAGATTTAATTTACGCTTTGTAACCTGTCTTAGTCTCATGTGCTATTTTAATGTACATTTGAGATTAATTGTTTCTCTTTCAAAACCTTGGCTTTAATTCCCCCTTCTCCCCAATTCCTTTATATTCAGTATATGCAACATGATCTCCTTAGTTGTATGCTGTTACTGTAAAATTATATTAATATAAAGGTTGTATTCTAATTGCAAACAGGACAGATTCTACTTACAGTTATAGATTATGGGTGTAATCCTTTAAGTCTTTGACATAGTCTCACTTCAGCAAGGCTGGGATTTCTCCCTCAAAATATGTGTTGTGTTTATACTGTTAAACGTTAGCCAACATACTCATTTGTATTTCAAGGATCCTGATAGATCTAAAAAGGGAAGTTTGGTATCAAAAATGTCATGACCCTGTTTGCAGAGCGGAAAACTTCAAGTCAAAACGTGAGTATTTTTTTCAATACATTTTAACATCTAAACTTGTATTTAATAATTTTTTAATTAAAAAAAAAAAACCTATATTTGATTTAGGGTCTCCATTACCACCTGAGATATGCCTCCCATTTCTCTTCAAAGAGGTATGTGTGTTTTTATTTCTAACTACTGAATAAAGTAGTTACAGATACAGGCCAGGGGCTGATTGGCTGGGCAGCAGCTCTGCAGAAAAGGACCTGGGGGTTACAGTGGACAATAAGCTGAAAATGAGCCAGCAGTGTTCCCTAGTTGCCAAGAAGGCTAATGGCATACTGGGCTGCATTGGTAGGTGTGTTGCCAGCAGATCAAGGGAAGTGATTATTCCTCTCTGTTCAGCACTGGTGAGGCCACATCTGGAGTACTATGTTCAGTTTTGGGCCCCCGCTACAGAAAGGATGTCGACAAATTAGAGAGAGTCCAGCAGAGGGCAATGAAAATGGTGAGGGAGCTGAGGACATGATTTATGAGGACAGGCTGAGGGAACTGGGCTTATTTAGTCTAGAGAAGAGAAGACAGAGATTTAGTAGCAGCCTTCAACTACGTGAATAGATGATAGAACAAGGAGCAGTGGTCTCAAGTTGCAGCAAGGGAAGTTTAGTTTAGATTATTAGGAAGAACTTTCTTACTAGGAGGGTAGTAAAACACTGAAACAGGTTACCCAGAGAGGTGGTGGAATGCATCATGGGTGGTTTCTAAGACCTAGCTAAAAAAGCCTTGGCTAGGATGATCTAGTTGGGGAATGGTCCTGCAGGGGGGTTGTATTAGATGACTTCCTGAGGTCCCTTCCAACCCTAATTTTCTATGATTCTATGAAAGATTTAAATTAAATGCCAAAACTACCATGTCTTATAGCCCCATAAAAGCCTTACCTACATTAAAGTGTTAGATTGTACAACCCTTGACATTATTCTTGCAACCCTATGATGTCTATGGCAGTGGTTCTCAACCTTTGGTACCTTATGTATCGCCTGCTGATCAACACAGCAAAAGTGAAACCGGAAGTCCCACCATGGCACTTCTGGTTTCGCCACCAGGAACCAAGTCCCACTTTTTCCACTGCGGCGGGGAGCAGTGCAGCCTGCGTGGGACCTCCCTCCCTATCCCCCGGCACACTGATGCTGGGGAGTGAAAGCTCTGGCACACCAGACACAGCAGGAGGGGCAGTGGTCAGAACTTCCAGCCTGAACAGGTAAAGAGCAAAATGCAGCACCCATGTACCCCCAGAGTTACACATACCATGGGTTGAGAAGCACTGGTCTATAGCACTAATTGTAATGGGGTCAGCAAGGGTGCTAACAGACTTACCTTAGCCATGCTCTAACTGATTGAGGGGGAAAGGAGTAGCATGAGCTGTCAGCTTGCCCAACCTGAGCTGGGGGGTTGGGGAATGGAATGGAACCCCCTTGCCTCTTAGGCCCCCTCCATACCCCAACTGGGGTAGCTGGGGGGGAGGGACCATGAGGCCAGAGGCTTTATTCCATCCCCGCCCCTCCAGCTCCAACTAGGCAGCAAACCCCAGCCAGTAACTTGGTGCTGTTTCCCCCCCTCCTACCCTCACACTGATAGCCCAGCCCACAAAGCACAAAAAATTAACCGTAGGCAACACAAGTTGCCTAAGACACACTAAAGCAGAATACCTTCATCTAATGCCTCATTTGAGAGAGGTTTTTTTGCATGCTCGACCATTTAAAAGGCGCTCTGTAGCTGTGTATATGTGCGTCAGCACAGCTATAGAGCACTTTTAGGGGCCTGAATTCATGAAAAATATAACTTGTGTAACAACCCCAAGTGTTTGGGTTTTTTTAAATGTGATGATAGTATAGCAACTAAAGAAGTGGTAGCGTAGACTGGACATCATTTTATCTGTATCTAGACAAGTCTTGTTTATAATAGTGAAGAAATAGCCAGAGACTGAACTCCTGTGCCATCTAACTCAGTAGTTCTCAACTTATTTTAGACTCAAGGCACTCACTATGTTCAAGGCACACCTTGGAAAATGCCAGCCCTTAGTACAAAAAATAACAACAATTCTGCTGTTGCAAAGGATTCAGACCACAAGAAGTCAGGATGTTTTTAAAAGTCTGGATTCCTATTTGAAATCTCTGGGTTTATATCTTGTGAATCATGTTTGCACGCCTAAAAATGCTAACATTGTGTGACACACCACGGCACTCAAGTTGGTTAGACCCATGATTCTCAACCAAAGTAGTTAAATACTCCTTGCAGAGGCTTTTTTTTTTTTTAGGTTAGGGATATGCTTGAGCAAATAAGTCAACTATCCACTGCAACACAAATCACCATGGAAATACAGCTGTATCTATGTAGAACTTAAATATTTTTGCCCTAATATACTGACAATGATTCAGTCTTAAAATGGCACAATATTAAACTAGTCAGTGACTTAAATATAACATTGTATCATCATTTTTTAAAATCTCTTTCTAATAAAGCATTTTGAAGAATATACTTAATGCAAGACTCCTACATTTTTAGAGTATCTTGCAATTGATAGTCTGAATTTTGAAGATAATAGTTTTTCAGTAACGCTTAGTAAAAATTTGGTCAAAGTAATTCCAGTTGTTAATCTGTTTTACATGTAGATACGCAGTTAAAAGTCCTGTTTAAGGTATCAAAGGTTGGTAACTATACACAGTATAAGCTCTTAAAGATAATGTCAAGATTTGTATGTATATCTTTATATTAAGATTAGTTTTCCAATACTACTTAAGTTATCTGTAGGTTTTTTCCTAAGTACCTTAAGATTGGCAGAGCACTTTGAAAACAACAAACTTGCTGCTGCAGGGAAAAACATAAGTATGCATGAAACATTTGCTCTAGCTGCTCCTATACAGACTAGCCAATTGCCTCTCAGGAATGATGGGGAATGGGGGGCAGGGAGGGAACTGAGCGCCACCACCCTGTGCTGCCACAGTCTCTCAGGGTGGGGGCGGGGGAAGCTTGTCCCACTGTCCCCTCTGTCCCCCTCAGCCAGCACCCCGTGCTGCTGCCTGCAGGTTGGGGAGGGGAGGCGAGGCCAATGGCGCTGGCCTTGCTCCCTGCTGCAGCGCCACCTCCTATCCGGAACACTCTTGGAGCACTCTGGTTGTTTCAGACAACCAATCAGAGTGCAAATAAAGCGCTACAGACAGACAGACAGACTACAGCTTTTATAACATTAGAAAAATAAAGTTAGATTGCTAGTAAGAATGTTCTTGAGTATGAGTTTTCAAAGTTTCTTAGTTCATCCAGAGTATTGTAAGAGCAAAATTCTACTTCCAGTGAAGCAAGAGCTGGCTTCTGTAGGATTAGTGCTTAACTGTACTGTAAACTACGCATATACCAGATTACAAAGAGAGCATGTCCTGCACTGACCTACATCATGCCTAATAGATATGGACTTTTTTGAAAGATCCAATATTAGCCTAACTTTGCTGCCATCTGAAACCAACTGAGTTTTTAGAAACGATTCATGTGAAATTCAGATGATGACATTTTCTTTTTAAGGAAGAAGAATATGTATTTATGGATGAAAGTGGTAACAAAAAAGAAAAAGTGGAACTATCTTCAAACCCTCCAGACTTCTCAGAGAGCATACCACTAAGAATATTTCAAGACAACAGGAAGTCTTTTGGCAAACTGTGCTCAAATACAGAATGGGACAATGCAAGTGATGATGCCTGTTTTCTGGAAGCTACTGAGGACATCGAACTAGCTGAAGCTGCAGATAATGGTTTGACCACATGCAACTACAACCTGGAAGAAATACCTGATGAACTCCTACTGGAGGCTGAGAAAACTGAAAACATGCTAACCAGTAGCAACAAGCTTGGCTTATCTACTAAGACATCACAGTTGACCACAACTATGTTCTAATGCCATAAGTCCTATTTACAGTAACTACTTTTCTGCCTCTAAAAGTGTATACTTAAACTTATCAGCTGTACTTTCACATAAGCAATTTAGATAAACATTCAAGAACCAAGTGCAAGTGTGGCTTAATAGGGATGTAGCCTTCTTCCATTGCTGCTTTTATATCTCACTTGGGTTGAGTGGCAGACCAATCACACGGAGATTCTGGGCCTACATATCAAGCAGGTAATTTCATTCCCTCAACATAGCGTGGCACAGCACAAACTCATCCCCCCTGCAGTTGTCAAATACAAAGACCAAGACCATAGCTGTGAAAACAAGACTACCATCTTACTTCCCAAGAAGAGGGTGTCATTGGACAGAGAAAGCACAGTGGAATATCCATGCAGGCTTATTTGTTCCCAGGATAGGTTTAAGATGGGGCATGAATTTAAAATAAAACACAAAGTGGCAAGTATAACATCTATAAAAGAAAAAAAAAAACACCAAAGAAAACTGGTGCAAGTAACAGTCTTACTGGGATCTAGAGTGAGGTGACATGTTATAACGAATGTTTAAAAGTTCTGGGGTTTATTGTGTTTATTCCCTTCAAGGAACAGGAAGAATCACTAATCAAAAGCTTATCTAAAGCAATGAAGAATACCTTTCTCAGATGACAAAAGCAATTCTATTAGATTTAAGCAATCAAACAAAAGGACACGTGCAATGTTTTAAACTATTTTTATTCATCAACAGGTGGTGGTGACAGAACTGTATCAGATCACTTGTGCCCTTTGCCATCCATCTCTTAGGAGGCAATCTTGTCTACTTTACCTGGAAATGGTCCTCAGCAAGTTTTATTATCAAGTCAACCTGTGTATATAATGTCCATTGATAACCCTTTAGACCAAGGGTAGGCAATTATTTGGGCTGAAGTGGAATTTAAGGAGTCTTGGTGAGTTGTTGTGGGCTGGGGAGGGAGGGAGGGAAAAGGAGTGCAACTGATCTTATCTGGCCCTGGGCCTATGTACCCCACACCCACCAGATGGAGCAGGTGCGGTCTCCATAGAGACTGGCCTGGAACCCCCACAGGCAGGGGCCACTCAGCCTCACAGACAGGATGGGGCCACGGACAGGTGGAGGTCAGTGTCCAGGAGCGGGGCAGAGCCATGATCTGCTTCCCTGCATGTGCCTGTGACAGGCACCGGATCCACAGGAAGGGACGTACAAGGAGCAGATCACAGCTCTGCCCTGGGCCCTGGCCCTGTGCTGTCACTGCCCCACAGCCTTGGCCTCACCCACCTGTCCCACTCCTGGATGCTGCTACCCACCTGCCTGTGGCCCCATCCCATCTGCCCAGGCTGGTCATAATAAAGTATCCACCCTCTCTGTCCAGCACCCTGGTAATGGCAGACAAGCAGCAGGGCTAGATCTGGCAGCAGCTTGCCACTACACCCCCCCCACCACACGCCTGGGGGCAGTGAGACCAGCCACACATGCCACAGCTTGGGCTGCTCCCTATGGCTAGGCAGGGCCCATGGACCTCCTGTGGGCCAGATACAGCCCCTGGAATGTATTTTGCCCACCTCTGACTTACTCTTCAAGGAGTTACAGTACTAATTTACTGGAAAGCAAGTTTCATTCATTGACTCATCCTGAGAAATTTGTGATAAGGTTCAGTGTAGCTTAACTATGTCAAAATGCCTTGCTGGACCTGGTCCTGGCCATGGGGGGTGACCTGGTGAGGGGGCTGCAGGTCCTTGACCACCTGGGCAACAGTGATCATCACCTGCTGGATTTCATTATCCAACGCAGGGCGTCTAAGGCTCACACCAAGGCTAAAGCCCTTGACTTCAGAAGGGCCAACTTCAATGAACTTAGGAGACTAGTGGGGGAGGCACCGAGGGCCCAGAAGGTAGAGGAGATGGGAGTCCATGAGGGATGGTCTTACCTTAAGGGGGTGATCCTCCAGGTCCAAAGGATAACAGTCCCTGAGAGAAGCAAGTGGGGTAAGAGTGCTCAGAAACCCCCTTGGCTCAGCAAGGGCATTCAGCAATGCCTGAGGAACTCAGGCTAGCGTCCAGGATTAAGGACAACAAAAAGTCCTTTTTCAAGTACATTGGGAGCAAGAAGAGGGCACCAGGCAATGTAGGGCCCCAGCAAGATGCAAACGGTAATCTTGTGGCTACGCCACACAAGAAAGCTGATATTTTTAACAGTTTCTTCACCTCTGTTTTCTTGAACAGGGACTGGGATATCCCACCTACCAGAGGTAGGGACAATCTTGGGGATAGCTCTGTCAAGACTTCCGTCAGCACAGATGTAGTTCGGGATCTTCTGAAAGGGCTAGACATTTTTAAATCTGCAGGTCCAGATGCCCTCCACCCAAGGGTGTTGAGGGAGCTGGCAGGGGTCATTGCGGAGCCCTTGGCCCGGCTGTATGAGCATTTGTGGTCATCTAGCCAGGTGCCAGGGGATTGGAAACCGGCTAATGTGGTCCCAGTTTTCAAGAAGGGGAGGAAGGAGGACCCTATAGGCCTGTAAGCCTCACCTCGGTGCTCGGGAAGCTC